TTGATCTTTGTTCTTCATATAAATAAATGACCTTTGAAAAACATGGACAAAATATGTCATGACTTTTCCAACAACCCAATATTATTCCAGGATTGGAAGGAACAATGACTACATCAGGCCTCCTCCTCTGGGTCAGAGAACGTCGGGCAGTCTATAAGCAGGAAGGACAGCTAAGGGTTCCCTCTTGCCAAGACACATAGGAGGGATGGTTACCACACAACCCCCTACAAAATGTCTTCAATGGCTTGTGAAACTTAGAAGGATACTAAATTCAGCAACACTTCCAGAATATCTGAGCTAATGGTCAGATGTTGTTTGGCATGATAGCAAGCCGCCAAAGGCCCAGGGACCACCCCCTATCAAGAGCAGTCTGCACTTAACAAAAGTGGCTCGGATTCATTCAAAAACAAATAGGCTGGTAACTTATGACACAGAATGACCACTGATGAAAATAGTAAAAAATAAAGCAATAGTAAAAAAAAGAAAAAATTCTGGCAAAATTTTATGTGCCTTTAGCATTTTTTTTCCAGCTATCATGATTTTTTTAAAATGTAAGCATGTTTGGGCAAGAATGGTAATATTTGTAAGTCCTAGGACTGTTTTATGAATTTTATGTATTTATTTTAGAAAATTATTTCCAAATTAAGGCATATTTTCCCTGATTTATTTATATCAGTATGCTTACTCTGCTTACTTAACAAAGTTTTCCATGAATTTAAAGTTTTCTCTTTGGTTCTGAGTAAATCTCTGAAAGAATATTAATCCAAAATGAATCTTTTAAATCACTACTATTTTTATTGTTAATATTTGTGCACTGCAGAGTGATTCATATTTAAGTGTATTTTCAGGTAATTTTGTCTAGTTTCTCAGTGATTTTGCCTTTTAACCTGATTTAAGTTGATTTTCAATCAGTAATTCCTGCTTCACTGTTGTAAGTAGGAGTCAGCTCATTGTGTTTCCTTCCTGTGTGCTAGTGAGATGCACGGTGATGCCCATGGGGTGGGATATTTGGGGCTCACCAGGTGCTGTCAGTGTACATCACGCTCTAACCCATGTTCCTGTCCCTGCTTGCATTCATCCATACACACGGAGC